GACTGTGTTCTTCACTGCTTTAAACTTGTAATGAATGCAGTCATTGGTCTGCTGCTGCTTTGTTCAGAGAGCTGATTGGCTGTTGACTATGTGTGATCAGACCGTGCCAGCTCTGATCAAACACCACAGTGACCATAAAGGCGAAAAAAATGTCAGAAACAGGAAGTGTTTGTCCAATCCTGAAGCCTGTCACCATTAACCTTTCACAGCTTCACTGAGAAGCTGCAGCTTTACAGGAAACACAGGATCTTTTTTTCACACTGACTGTGTTTAGTACCCACTCATTCCAACACTTTACTGACCTCAGAGTCTCCAGTCTATAGTTTGGACTCTGCTTAAAATCAGACAGCTTCTTTATATCTGTATCATGCAGGTTGTTTCCCCACAGGTCCAGCTCTCTCAGATGGGAGGGGTTGGACTTCAGTGCTGCTGCGAGATAATCACAGCTGATCTTTGATAAACCACACCAGATCAATCTGTATAAAGAATGAAAGATGTAAGTTTATTAGACAAAGTGTCTGATTGAAATCATTCAGGTTTTTTATAATCTGTTAAGAGCTGAACAAGGTTCAGAATGTAAAAGTTTAGAAAATGGAAACTCCAAACAGCTGAAGCCACCTGGAAGCAGCTTCAAACAGCTTCAAGAAACTCCACCTAAGTCATAAGAATAAAATGTTCTCACATTTATAGCCACAGTTCAAGTTACAGGGTTTTTGCACAATTTGAAATATATAAATTCATGCTTTTAAAGACCTTTTTAAGACCCGAAAATGTAAATCAGATGGAACGATGTTGAAATAATGGATTATATTTCAGCTTTTACAAACAGGCTAAAGAACTAGTTGGATATCCAAATTCTAATTTCCACAACACAGTATTTGATGCTTTTAGTTTACACATATGACAGTAACGTCAATCTTTTTGTATTTTGGAGTGTTGCTCAGACAGACACATTATTTTAAGAAGTCACTATGATCAGTGCTTTGACCTGTTTCCACTGTTTAAGGTTATGGTGTCCTCACCCTGAGTTTCTTAGTTTCACCAGCTACTGCAATAACAATGCCCCTACTGGTTTAGAGACTTATTCCCGTGAAAAAAGCAAGACAGAGCTCGATCCATTTTAACTTGAAAGGGGAGCCGATTGGACCAGGGTCTTGGAGCTGCCCCTCACCTGATCCCTGACAACTCCAAAGAGCCAGCCTCCCCTGCAGTCTTTTAACTCTGTGGTCACACTAATCTAATTAATCATGCAACAGATAAAACACTCACATGTGAATGTTGTGTTGGGTGTTTCTGCAACAGTAAACATGTGATGTGTAGTGATGGGTCGTTCGCGAACGAAATGGCTCTTAGAGCCGACTCTTTGAAGTGAACGACGCGAGCCGGCGAGGGACAACAATGTCACACTAGAAAGGTATAGTAATCATCCACTATTTTCAGTTGCAGATGATAAAGGATTCAGAAATCATGCCCATATGACAGAGAATGTGCATCTTCTTTTTGTTTTAATATTTTAATTTATATTTAATTGTGTTGTGGTTTGCAGTGTTTTGTGTTGTTTCACGTTAAATTTGTTTAAAAGGAAAAAGCTGAAAATTTAAATAGTTAAAAGTTTAAAATGTAAATAGTTGTTTTTTGTATTATATGATTTATTTATTACATTTTATGTA